GCTGAGCTCTATCTCCAAGGATGGAGACCCCACCACATCCCCATTGCAGCCTGTGGCCACTCGTCACAGATTTTTTTTATTCCCCACCCCCCCATACCTTATCAGAACTTGTTGCAACTCACGTCCTTTGAGAGGTGGGGAAGGTGCCAGGTCACAGGAGGAACCACACCTGGCCCTGGTTCAGAGAGCATCCAAGCACTGTTCCTAGCTCGAAACACAGTCAACTCCAAGCCAAGGAATTAAAGACAGCAAGTGTCTGGGATTTCAGGCTTGATTCAGTTTTATTCCCTGGTTGTCTCAGAAGGCAGCCCTACAAACAGCAGGACAAAAAGCAAATGGAAGAGCAAAGCCGTACACTCTCCCCCCTTTCTGCTGCCATCAGCTGAAGAGGCTGCACAAAATCCTGCAGCGCCTGCGTGCAGAGCTTGGGGTGGGCGGCAGCAAACAGAGACCAGCAAGGGCCTGGACCGCGGGCAAAGCTGCCCAAGATGCAGCCCATGCTGGAAAGGAATAGACCGACCCGTAACAAGTTTGTGGGCAAAACCTCGCAGGTTCTCCAGGGAACCGCAATTCCTGGGGACACCTCGGTCGCTTTTGCTTATGGAATGAGGGTCCAACTCTTCCCTCACGCTGGCAGTCACAGCTTGGGATGTACCGTATAGTAAAACTGGTGCCTGTCATGCCTGTTTCATCTGACAAAAACTAATTTCTTTATTTTTTTTCATGCTTTTCTCTACTTTGCTACAGCCAGGCTTCAGCCTCCATGGCCCCCACGTCACCGGAGCAATGTACCCGCATTTCATCAGGGAACAAAGGACAAAAATGGAACTTCTCAGAAATCCTAAATGCACCGGTCAGCCCAAACTCCCCAACCCGCACATCCCCCCTCCAGCACCAACCCCCCCACTAAACTGCCAGCCCAGCCCTTCCCCAAAGATCCTGGCAGCTCCCTTGGTGCCATGGCGCATCGCCCTCCTGCCCATGAGGCCAAAGCACAAGTAGAGTTGTTGCTTCATTGAATGTTTCGAGCCAGCAGGACAGGCCATGGCAGAAACCAAACAGGATTTGCAGTTTCTTTCGGAGGGGCCTTGATGCCGACCTGGCGATTTGGATCTTGTGAGGCCAGGCTCAGACTGGGAGACCCCTCCTCTCCCAGGGTCCCCCTTTGTGAAGTTTTACCTATGGGTACTTTAGCAGAAGCAGAGCAGATATGCAATGGAAGTTCTTGCCAAAGCAGCAGCTTGTTGTTAAATCACGCGCAGATACAGGTGATTTCCAAAGATCCCGCTGCTAACACAGGGTACATTTTAAGCTTCACAAGCAGGACGAGACACGTTCCTTCTGGGAGGCAGCACTGCGAGACTCAGCCCAAGCCACGCTCCTGGCTTAAGCCAGAGCAAAGACAAAGGTTTAACTTCCATAAACCCGCTCACAATTGCTCTGCTCAACTACAGCTGCTTAGGAATTGCAGAGCTTAGTGTACTGGAAAATAACACAGTCCTTGGGAGTACTTCAGAAATAAACATTACTGCAAGTGCTCACCTCCTCCCCTTCAGTTTGGGATGGAATCCATTGGAGTTTTCCTCTTTACAGAGGCTCCAGCTCATTCAGCACCTGGTGTGTCTGCAGCACCGCAGACAATTCCCCGCTGCAGCCAATTTCACCCTCCCGCTGCCCTGGCTTCTTCCTACAAAGGACTCGGGCAGATCCTGGAGAATAATCCAGACCCCATTCAATAAATTTTAGCAGCCCAGCTAGCACAGATACCACACTCTCTCCCACACACCCCTAGAAGTAGAAGCAGAACTATTTTTTTTTTCCTCCCCAATTCTTCCAGCACACACCACTTCACAGCCCTGCTCGCAGCAGAGCTCCAGCCAGGAAGTTTTCCTCTGGGGCTGTTAAGAATAACAGTTATTTGCAAGAGACAGTGGCAAGAAAAAAGCCAACCAAGCACCACCACTGCTTTGCAGAGGAAAACATGCCTTGCTGAACATTTTCCTGAGACCCAGGCTCAGCATCTTGGGAAGAACTTGATTCCCTTTCCCTTTGGAAAAATGGACCTAAATTAACATTCCTGACTTCCCCCCCCATCCCCCAGGGTGTTCTGTTAGGGCTGAAGTAAACTGCAATCCTAACGCTGTTGTTAACAGGGCTTTTAGCAACACCCAAGCCAGCTAAAGCATTCTCATCACCAGGACTTCATTCCGCTTCTAACAGAGCTTTCCACAGCCTGAAAGTTCATCCCTTGCACTGCACCACCCCAAGGGAAAATCCAGCCTTTGCTGGAAACAGAACGAGGTTTCCCCAGGATCTTTGGAGGACTTTGGTTCTACCCACTGCCCCCAGCTGCACCACTCTCAGAGCAGAGCTTTCGGGTGGGAGAACCAAGCATTCAGATACCATGAAGTACAATTTCAAGCATCAGGCCTGAAACACACAGGACCCTCTCCAGAGGTTAAAGAGGTGAATGTGCTACAGCTGCACTTGGGCTCCTTGCATCCTCAATGGATGGGACCCCCAGGCAGCCTTTGCAAGGCCCTCAAGAGTTTTGCCAAAAAAGCCTTTTGAATAAGCAAGGCTAAACCTCCTGCTCTTCCCTCACCATGCTTTTCAACAGCTGTGCCTGCATCCCTACCCCAAAGGGCACGGACACCTCTGTCAGGTTCTCCCTCTCCAGTATGGAAGCTGCCTTTCCCTCAGGAAGATCCCTTTGTCAGGCAAACTCCTTTTGCCTTCAAGCAGCAGCTCTTCAGCAGCCGGCCAGGCTGGCGCTCCTACAGGAACTGGCAGAAACAGCCGGAACATTCCCTGCTCAAACACAAGCCATGTGGCTCAGCCAGGTTTTAGGATCCTTTTTTTGACAAGCAGCAGCACTTGATTTACAGAACGCCCATGCAAAGGGAACTACCAATGCCTGAACTGCCTTTTTTTTCTTTCAGAGAATACACCAGGACCCGGAACATACGATGTGGAAAGGGGCTATAGAGCTTGCTTACCCCGCTCCCCCAGCATCACCATCCAAGGGATCAGGAGACCCAAGAAACATGAGACCGGGCCCTTTACAACTCTCTGAAAGAACCACAGGATTTCTTTCATCCATTGTCAAGCAACTTGCTCTTCTTCAGTGATGACAAAAGCACAAAAGAAATTCAGCTGAAGAACTAGAGTGTGTGCTTGTCCTGGTCACCAGAGGAAAAATCCAGCATCTCCTCTGCCACAAGGCAGGAGAAAACAAGTGAAGAATCCAGTCCATTCTACAACAGAAAACCCACCATGCCCCCTCGGCCAGCGGTGCCTCCCTGTGACCATGGGCTGGAGCAAGGCCCAGCTGCCAGGCACATGAAGCCGCTCTCCCCAGCTCCAGCGGTCCCTGGGAACACTGAGAGAACAGCCACACCTCAGATTTGGTGTCAGAGGGCCTGGTCAGAGCCCTGCCATCCCACCAGCACATGCACTACTCAGGCACAGGGCTACAAGGCAAGCAGTCCGCAAAGTTATTTTCAAGCCCCGGTGTGTGTTTGTCCTCTGGCTATGGTGTTTGGGGGAAGCCAGACCCCTAACACAGGGCAGCACCTGCAGCTCCAAGTTGTGCATTGGGCACCAGCAAGAGCAGAGCTCACAGAAAAGCTTCACACAGGCCACAAGCTGCGACATTTGCTCTTTCCCGTGTGTCTGGAAGTGCTGCGTTGAGGCAACTCTGCTTCTGTGAGCTCAGCATTGCTGCAGGCAAATGATTTCAGGGCAGCACATGGGAACAAGCTGCTCTAGCTCTGGGGTTTGTGTAAGGACCATCACCTTGGCTGAGGCAGGGGGCAGGTGATCCCCAGCCAAAACCCGCTGTTCATGCGATGCAGGACAAGGACAAATTCAGCCAGCAGCACTGTCTGCAGACCACGGAGTCTTTATTAACTATTTAAGGTGCTACAAAAAACTTCAGGAGCCTTCATAGGGCAACTTCTTTTCTGCAGTCTTAGCTCTGTTGAAAGACACAAATACCGCACATTAGCGGGGAGCTGTGTGCCCCCCAGCCACTACAGCTATCTCAGTCAGAGACCAGTACTTACAGCTGGGCACTCAATAGCACCGTTATTGATGTCATCAATGATATCATGCGGGTGCCTGCCATCGATGCTACAGCCCACAGACTGGGCAGTTCCAAGAATCTCCTTGATCGTCCCTGCAGTGGGAAGACACAGTTTGTCAGTGCTTCACCACTGGAAAAACTTGGAAGAACAAAGAGAACTCAATTCCTTGCAGCCCCTCCCTCCCTTTGGGGCTCACGGGCTGCACCCCTGGGGCTCACAAGGGGGCGAGCAAGGCGCTTCAGCCACAGCCAGTGTCCACACTGCCCGCGAACGCAGCAGAGTGCACTGCATCTGTCACTGCGTACCTTTTGCTGTCCCCTACTACCTCCAGCAGAAGGCATGAGGCTGGCTCACACAGCCAGCGCGAGGCCGTCCCCGCGGTGCTCGGTGCCCAAGCAGCCCAGCCAGCGCAGCTCCCCAGAGCACCACAGCTCCGGAGCCCACCCGGCGATCGGAGCAGAACCTGGCCAGGACACTGAGAGCAAGCAGGGGGAAGACTCAGCACAAGCCCAGCACTTACCCGAGAGCTCTCGAGCCAGGGATCTGTGCCGCATCTGCCGCGCAATGTTCACGATCTCATCAAAGGTGACGCTGCCACTGTGCTTAACTGGGAAGCAAAGCAGCAGCACCAGTTAGTTCACGGAAACATAGCACTTCCACTCCCCCGTGCTTCCCTAGTAAAGCGCCGTTCCCAGGGCTCAGACCACATGGAGACTGGCGAGCTCACAACCACAGCAGGGCTGGGATCAGCACGCCTGTTCCCAACCTTTGGCATAAAGTTACCCACGAGGAGAGCAACTGTTTCCTACACTGGCATTTTCTGTCACCTCCCCTCTGGGCTGTGCCAGCCCATGCACCACAGGACAGGCACAGGGGTGGGTGGCTGTTCCACCCCATCTCCCAAGAAGCTGAACTCTGCTGGCATGCAGACCATTGTTGTCTGTACTCCAACACTGAAGGAATTCCCACTGCCCAAGACACAGCCCTGCAGTGCTCGTTTGCCAGTTTATGCTGAATAAGAGGCAGGCACCTACTCCCCTCTTAGCATCAAATCACTCAGAACCAAACCATGGAACTTACTGTTTTTCTGCTTCTTTCTGTCACGAGGGGGCTCCTTCAGAGCTTTGATAATCAGAGCAGAGGCAGAAGGAACAACCTCAATCTAAACAAAAAGAAATTAATTTCCCCTCCTGCGTCGAAGCCACCGGTTTTAGTTTGTTCACCAGTGCATGACACTTTTTTTTTTGGATGCAGAAACTTGTTCCCAGCTTTTCGGCACAGGCCTCCCCACGATCAGGAGAGGACTGCTTCCTGGGCTGGGGCTTCCTCTCAGCTCACCACTGGAACATACCAGCCACAGAATTCAGGACAGGTATAGTGGCAGGTGGCTACGGCAATAAGTAAGGAGGTTGGCTTTTCTTTGTGTAATTTCTATGTCGCTTGACATGATGTTTTTCCTGGTCAGATGTTCCGTAGAAGGAACAATTTATCTGCAACAGGATGAAAGATCAACTTCTGCACATGGGCAGATCTCTTCCCAGCGCTCACAGGCAGGGAACCTCCACCCTGGCAAGCCACAGGGTTCCCCCCACCCCACCCCATTCTTCTCACTGCCAGATTTGAGCTGGAGGCACTCACAGGGCACACGCAGGGGGTTTTAAGGTCTTTCCCAGAAGACCCCCACACAGCTGGCTGTGTGGAACTCATTTTATCCACCTCGGAAGGATGAAGGGCTGAGTCGACCCTGCCGGGGTTTCAGCTTGCGGTTTGAGCAAGCAGAGCTCGTCTGCACTCGATGCTCGCACCACCAAGCCGCCCCTTCTGGCGTCAGATACCTGGGCTTGCCTGTTCTGGATGGTGAGCTTCACCGTGATCCTCAGCCCCTTCCAGTCGCCCGTGGCCTTGGCAATGTCATCACCGACCTTCTTGGGAGACTGAAGAGAGCACACCCGGGGGTCAGGCAAACCAGCGCCGAGGGGAGCAGAGCAGCCCCGCGCCGCGCC